ATGCCCCATAACTTCATCTTCTCTTTACTTTTGCCCCCAGTAAGCTATTTTTACGATGTTTAAGATTATACTGTTACAGAAAAGCAGATTTGTTGTTTAAGACTGGTTTTAAAATGAAAAAGCAGCTTCTTACGTGTTTGGGCTTGGTGATCATAATTATGGCTCTTTCAATTATCACATTTGCGTGCTATTTATTATGGGTGACAATATCATTTGGACTGTCTGGTGAAAGGTGTGTGTGTGTGTGTGTGTGTGTGTGTGTGTCCATTGTGCCATCCCTGGTTTCTTCATTTCAACCCAATGGGCCTTTGATTCACCTGATTTTGCACCTGCTCAGCTCTTTCACTGATGTGTGAATCACATGGGCCTTTTAGACTTAAAAAATCAAATTAAAAAAAGTAAGACTTGTTCTAATAAATAGTCCTGTTTACAGTGTAACTCCCTTTCATGTAAAATGACCTTACATCTCTTCTGTTCCTTTTGTACCTGGGTCAGTATCGATGGGTCTGTTTCCACCCTGTGGAGCCTGGTGCTGATTTCCCCTGGATGCCTGCAACAACACATGGGACCCAGGGCATTGGTCCAAAGATGGTGCCAGGCCCCCATATATTGACTTTAGAAATCACCACTGATGTGATCTATAGCCTACATACTCTCAAATCACCAAATATATTATTTAAATATGGGAAAAGTTGAAAATACCAGGAATGTGCCTTTCTTACAATTTTGAACAGCCTGTATTTCATATTTTCAGAGGTTATTCAATTTTTAGTCAGGCTTTTTTTTAATAATTAAAACTTCAGTCAGAACAAAAATAAAAAGGTTTATATTATTTTCTATTTAAATGTATTCTTGTGGAGAGTTGTGACTTGTTACCAGTTACTCACGTGAGAAGCCTGATGGGGTGTCTGGTTTGAATCAAACCATGGTGCTGTGACCAGGCTCGGCTCCACCTTCACTGTGCTGGGAAACAAACCAAGTGCTCTCATCTAAAAAAAGCACTTTGTGTGCATTCATACTTTTTTTTTTAAAGATATTGTATATATGAGTGGCTGAGGCCTTTTACTCACAGCACTATTTACACTGTGGACTGCATCTGAAGTCTCAGAGTCAAAGAAAACATGGCTATGAAAACAAAAGATAAAACCTCTAATTGGAGTTTCTATTGGTTTCAAATAACTTATTTTAATTTAAAAGAAAAATCTGAGTATAAAATATTTCAGTTACTTGGTGACACCTCATTCATGAACATGTCTGGAATACATATTATTTGTTTAAGGCACATATTTATCATGCTGCTTCCTTGTTGCTGTGCAATAACCAGCAGAGCCAGCTGAATAAGGTACAGCATTTCAAACTTTCTAACCCATAATTTCTGCCCAGGTGATCTCTAAGAAACAATAGCCTTTGTGCACTTGACAAGATCAAGGTCACCTGAGCTGCTTTAATGTCCAAGTAAAATGTGAAAATTGGGCTCTAAAATATACAGCTGGATTCTTTCCCCATGGGCTTTTCAAAGATGATATCATTCTTCATTCTTAGTGTGTTCTTTGCTAAATCAATTTCCTAGATATGTTTGTTTGATTTCTGCCCACTGGAGTATTTGAGTACAGACATTTTGTGAAATTATACGTGGTTGCTAACCTCATGAGCCTATATGAAATAGACCATGTCATACTTTTGGCTGTCAGTGTTTTACATGCCTGTTCTTCTGCTGTATCAGATGCAACAGACCAAAGCACGTATTCATACCCAAAATCAATTTTTAAAAATGTATATATATATAGTTGTGTATGTGCCTGTTATCCCTGATAGTGCATATTTACTTTCCATGTAGTTTAACCATGAAGCATAGACATTTGTAACTTGTAAAGCTGAATTTGTTACAATTATGTAGACAATTATTTTAGATGCAATTAAAATAACAGAAACCCAAGCAAAACTAAATTACTTTTATGCCATATAATAACAACTTAGGTTATACAAGCTCGGCAGCTAATACATGACATAACCCTCTGAGGAGTCTTTAACATATACTTTAATAACTATAATTAGTTCCAAATGCTGTTGGAAGCAGTATATGCTACATATTAGTTTTGACTGAGGAAGGGAAAATGATGTGCAGGCACAAATTTCCCTTTATATTATTTCAGACGGGGTTTTTATTTGTGTGGAGGCTCATTTTAACTTCCCAACGTAGCTGAAAACAACCAAGCCACTGCTTTAGGCCCTCATATCCACATTGCCAGAGAATGAATGCTCCCCTGATGTTCACAGTGAGGTTTGTTCAATCATTTCAGACAATTATAAAACTTTTTTTTTATTTCTGTTGTTTAAGTCTTAACATGTTTCTCATAGGCCTGTACACGGTTTATGTCAATTGCACTCATTCTGCATACAGGGTATTACTGGACACACTTTGATAGGATGTACAGCAGTATAGGGATGACATCAGTAGAATACATAAGGTAATCAGAGGACTGTTTCTGCCACTTTCATGTTTCGTCCTTTAAGAGGTTCCTCTTGTTTCCCAAACAATATTACACATCATAGGATTGTCATTAAGGTCAGTAAGCCTGATTAACCATTACAAGGGCTCAGTTGTGGAAAAAAGCATTGAGGTCCTCATACGGAGGAGCCCTATCATGGTGCAAGTGCACGTCGTGGAAAGGTGGAATGTTTTCCGAGTGTGCACCACCGCTGCGCGCTCCCGAGGCCCCAAGCGTTAGGCTGTGGCTGGCCCGAGACGTGCTCAGTCCGGAGTAATGCATAGAGTAGTGATAGTTCCTGTCTGTCTCAGAGGACTCCTGCTGTCTCCCGGATAGGCAAACGGGCGGGCTGTGCTGGCCTTCGTAGTCCGGGCTGCTGTAATCAGGGGACGCTCCGCCGGGCGGGTAAACGGCCTCGTAACCAGAACCGTAGGCATGGCCACGCAAGTTGAGCGCACCGGCTCCAGGCTGGTAATGCGGACTGGAGAGGCGAGAACAGCGGTAGGAGTAGGCATGGACGGAGAAAGGAGAGCTGGGCATATGGAAGCGGCCTCCGTCTGAACACTGTTCAGTCAGGAAGTTTCTCGTGTTGAGCTGCAGGCATCCTGCCACCAGGTTGGTCGTGGGCTGGGACAGGCCTTTACACAACATCTGCACGTAGGTCACAACATCTGGACGTTTCCCGTTGCGTAAAATCTCTCCGAGGGCTAATATATAATTCTTGGCCAGCCTCAGAGTCTCTATCTTGGAGAGTTTTTGGGTTTTGGAGTAGCATGGCACCACTTTGCGCAGATTGTCCAGCGCAGAATTCAAGGAGTGCATCCGCGTGCGCTCCCGCGCGTTTGCCTTCATTCGACGCACCTTGGAGCGCTCTACGCGCGCTGCCGTCATCTTGCGTTTCTTTGGGCCGCGCTTTTTGGGTTTGTCTCCACTGTTCTCGTCTCCACACTCATCTTCCTCGGCCTCATCATCCTCGTCGTCGTCGTCGTCGTCGTCGCCTGCCATCTCAGACTCAGCTCGACTGCTTCCTTCCTGTGGCTCGTCCAGCTCGTCCTCCTCGAGGTGACAGGGCTCGTGCTCGTCGTCCTTGGCCTTGCAGTCTTCGTTTTCATTGTCCTCCACCCAGTCAGCCGCGAGCCTCTGCACATCCGGCAGCACCTCGCTGAACAGACGGCTCAACATCATTGCATGCAACCTGCAAGACAGAGACAGACAACACGTTAGCTGGACCGTTCTGCACCACGCTGCTGTTAAAGCATCCATAGACTGTGAAGCAAGAGAAGCTGCTTCAGTGAGCTCCTAAGGCCGTATATGCCCGTTACCCAGAGGAAATAAATTCTTCAGTCCGTACATATTTCATATGCAGTGAACTGTATGATTGAAAGCCAAAGTTTCTTTATAACAAATTCGTTTCCTATAAGATGACAATACCTCAGCATCTTGGTATAGCGGGAACTGTGTTCGTTTAATATTTACATATTTCCATTTGCATAAGATATGTAGCCTGCAGTCTTCCTCTCATCTTGTAAAAACTAAGACCGCTGCAATAAACACAACAACATAAGTCCAAACTGCATGTATACAGTAAATAAAAAATAGGAGATAATGATTAAAGGCAAACATTTTGTCATCATATGCGGAATTGAAACCACAGCTTTTATTTTTGTCTGACGTGATTCAGGTTAGTTAATATAAAGCTAAATTGGATGTACTATATAAAATAGGGCCATAAAACATAAAGCTCAGTCTTAAAGACCCATCTACATTTTAGCTTAATATTAGATATTCTCTATTCAATTTTCATTTTCAGTCATAAAATCTGATTATTTTAGTGGCACAAAAGCAACAGTCTGGGCCACCCCTCGGCCTCCACATGCGCCTAGGGTTTGTGCCCTCCAGCAGTCCGGCACAGGAGCGGAGCTGTCTTCAGTGGGTCCCCCAGGGGACGTATTAGGGGTGCGTGTCTCTCCTCCGTCCTATAAATCACCAACCTGGAAGAATTCCAGCACAACCAGGCCGCACACCGGACCAGAGGATCCAGATCATTTCTAAGTCTCTGGATTAACAGGTTTTTTAAAAAAAAAATCAATTCTACTTTATGACTTTATTCAAAAAAGCCCATTTGAGGCAATTTCTGTTCAAAACATATTAAGCACGGATGAGTCTGAGATATTTCAGAAAGTGAAAGAACAATAATGACAGTGAAATATGCATTCGAGAAGAACACCTCTACAGGTTCATGAACCGTGCACCACTGGAGACAACCGAAAAACCTTTGTCTGACATTCCCTTGCTGAACTTCAGTCCCACATGTCTGAGGAAAAACACTGGAGTGTGTTTTAGATATTGGCTGCCTTTTTAATTTCACTGACCTTTTCCGTTTCTTCAGTTACAAACCAGGATTTATGTCAATCAAAGCTCTATATAAATGGTCACAAGGCCATGTTTTAAACGGCGCATAATGGTTCCCTCTATATTTATGATATCAGGCTAGACCAATAATTCAGGCTAAATAGACAAGTTATTTATTAGAATCAAATTGAAAACCAATAAAATAGCTGGAATCCCCCAAAGATTCTCATATATTTTCCAGGATCCTGAGCTCAGCTGTGCGCGGAGTCCAAGGACGGATTTTTTTTCTCATCTTGTAGGCACAATGTAATTAATGCCAACCAATACCTTGTCAATTAGTCTGTGTATCTCTATGGAGAATTCTACCCCCACAGTGCTCTGACGCGCGTCGTGCAGCAACACACACACACACACACACACACACACACACACACACACACACGCACACACACACACACACACACACACACACACAATCAAATTATTAAAATATAATAAAATACACGCCGCAGTGCTGATTTTCTAAGGTAAGACAACGAATACAAAAGTGCCAGAGCAGCCTAGGGATCGATGTAGCTTTTAAGAATTATTTACACAAAATAGCCACATTAAACCTAAGTGGATTAATGGGCTATCTTCTAAAACCAGCGATAAAGGACCCGAAGTGGAGATAACCATCATATCTGATGACGCTGCATGCGAGGAAAAAAAGAGAACGAAGAGAAATGGTATCTTGTTCAAAGACAGGTTTAATGCATGCAATTATCTCTGTTACCTCATTAAGACAAAGACGAAAGTAAACCTAGATCTATATGGGTTAGTCTAATATTGATTTGAAACGTGCAACCTACCTCCGTGGTGGAGCTCAGTGACGGGGCAAAGCGGGTTTGTTTACACCATCTCTCTCCGGGTGGGCATCACATCCACACACCCTGCACGGATGCTTGTGCAGGCGAGAAGCTGTGTTCTGCTCTCACACCTCTCTCTCTCCTCTGCTCTGTCTGTCTGTCTGTCTGCTTACTGCTGCTATCCCCAGCCCAAACGCGTGGAGGGAACCGTGTGGCACCTCAGAGGCAGGACTGGGTGGGTTACATACCAGCTCTGATGCCAGGCCCATATGGCTGGCACGTCATTGGCAAGAGCCATCACATGAGAGCCGGTGATTGACATGCGGCCGCATTCACAGAGACTGGCTTCCCCTGGGGGAGAGGGACTCGCCATCTGTCACCGAGCTGAAAGAGAAAATGGAATAAGGAGTGAATGGCAAAAAAAAAAAATACTGGATTCAAACAGCTTCTTTGGGAAAAACGGGGTTAATCTCATATGGGTGGTTTAGAACAACAATCCTCTTACCAGAAATAATTATAGTAATCCTATAATAATGCATTTTAAAATGATATCATTATAATATTAGGCCGCAACAAAAACAGAATTCTCCATTTGGATTGTTATAGGATTACTAGACTAACCCACATACAGCAAACCCTGTGGGAAAATGTTTCAGCGATAGACAGGCTAAAAGGAACAATTAAACACTGTAAACTCCTACAGAAAGATTATAAGGAAAGGTCAAGCTTGAAACACCAATACTTTACACAAAGGCCTATAAATACGGACCCGCCATAAAGATCAGAGTCAGGGTGCAATTGTCTAAATGAGTCAATTGAACTGGGCTAAGCAGAGCGTCTTGGTTTGGGTTGCCAGGCTTGGCACAGGTGCCGGTGGGCGGGCTGGTGCCAAAGGTGGCAGAGGCACAGATTGTAGAGAGGGGCCCAAAGATGGGGCAAGACAAGAGACGCAGTGGGAGGAGTAGGAGTGGCAAACAGTGGGAGCATGGGAGCAGGCTTGTCTCCATCATCATCAGGTTTCTGGGACCTGCCGGTTGTCCATTTTTTACTAAAGCTACCAAAATATTTGCAAGATCACAATTTTTCTGCTGATAACTGTTTAGTCCCATTCTCTGATGAAGACTTAGCACCCTGGATAGAGACTGGTCAAAATGAGTCAACCAGTTTGATTACTGTGATTCAGTCTTTTGTTTCAAAAATACTGTAGTGCTCATATTCATATAACATAATTTTTAGACTAAAGTGTTCAGTTTCCTCCTTTGAGCATTAATGATATTTATTTCCAAGGGTCATGTTCATAGAACAGCATAAAGACATAAAAGTTGGTATTTAATTTCCATTTTCATAAAACATTAAATGCCTCATCGAAGTGGTATTTGAGAATGAGGAGCTGAAAGTCTGAACATAATGATGGTTTTGCTCTATAACTCCTTCCACAGCTCAGTGTGAATCTATAATGACCCAATAAATGATGTTTTCTCCCCAAACATCACAGACAAAAGCTGAGTCTCTGCAGCTTATTGTATTGCAGGTTTTTCTAAGGTTGACTGGTTTAATTTAAAAAGTTATTTCAGGTAGAGTTTTGAAATTAAAAACACGTGTGAAGCTTAAAACCAATGTTGTAATTGCTTAGGTTTTATAAGTAACTTTCAGATAAGCTGTTCTCTGGTCATTATCAGTCAGTATGGTTGAGTTGATGCAGGAACAGGCAGCCTCTCTGTTTGTGCTTTCTGCAGCTATATGTGGGCGACATCTTCTGGTTAAGAAAAGCTAGTGCATTTCACAGAACAACTCATATCATTCCTGTTCAGAGGATATGGAGGGAGGCTGTAGTAAGGCGTTGTATTGCCTGGTAATGATGAATTATGACTTTGCAGTAACGTGACAACAGTGTGTCATTGTTCCCTTACTCCATGTGTTAAACGTGTTGTCTGGGCTACGTGCAGTATAAATCCTTCAGACCTTTCAGATTTGCTCATGTGCTCTGCAACTATGTGCATTTAAATGCCTCCTCAATAACACAGGATGTAGTTTATTCACATGTAAGCGCACCTCCTTTCGCTTTTGTTGAAAACATTTCTCTGTTTTAGAATTTAGATGGTGCATATTGATGGGGCTCACAAATAGCCATTATGTTAATTTTTCAAGGACAACAGTTGAACTGAAAGTGAACTGAGCCGCAGATGGGCTGTATTTAAATCCCCATGGTAGAAGTTTTACTTTTCACCTGAAGACCTCTCACAGCAGGTCTGAGTTTGCTGTCAGCAGCAGTTCTCCCTGGACCTGGCAGCGATCCAGAGCCTTCTTCAAGTTCATATCAGGGTGAACCTGTGGACCTGTGTGAACTAATTTTAAATCATAGACTCACTCCAACCAAGGTTAGGCTTATATAAGCTTCTCGTTAGTATAGTAGTGCGTGTCCCCGCCTGTCACGCGGGAGACCGGGGTTCGATTCTCCAATGGGTAGTTACTTATTTGTTTCTTTGATGGTCGAATGACTTGGATTCAGCGCTTTTCCCGGTACTGGTTCGATTCCCGGTCAGGGAATAGGATTTTGGGCACTACAATTTCCTAGAAAAAAAAATCCTACACTCATACAGCAGGCGAATGGCGCACTGATTAATGCCAATGACTGCGGCATGGCAGCTTCATGGCAGGTCGGGCTTCACTTTCCTGTCAAAGCATGATAGCTCGTTTTGTGGGCGACTGTGATTCAGTGGGTAGAGCAGTCATCTCACAACCGGAGGGTTAGAGGTTCGAAGCACGGTGCCTGTAGTGTCGAAGTGTTCTTGGGCAAGACACTGACCCCCCCAAGTTGCCCCCGATGGTTAAAGCCATCGATGTGAGCTGGCGCGGCAGATGGGTGCCTCGGTTCTGTTCCGGAAAGAAATTCCTTGTAACATACTTTGCCAAATAAAGGTGGTTATTATTATTATAAATAAAATCCTCCCTCTCTTTCCTTACAAGCACACATTGTACACCTGCTCTGTTTCCTCTTTCTTTCCTCCCTTCATCCTTGTGCCTTTGGCCTTCATTGCCATCACCATACTTTATCCTATAGTCTGTCTTTTTCATTCTCCTCTATCCCTTTATCTCTTTTTATTACACAGTTGTATAAGAATTTGCACACACTCATCCCAACTGTCTCTCTTTGAACTTACTCCGAATCTCTCACACATGAGCGCGCACACACTGCGCTTGCAATACCAACACTCAACATTGTGAAGAAAAGCAGTTTCTATGGCAATGAATTTCTCAACCAAGTAGCCACTGGAGAAAAGGCAGTTCAGTTTGTGAATCCCCCCTTGAGAAACATTAGAAAACATAAGCAGGATTTAAAGGATAAAGTGATACCAGGACGATTTCGTGATGAAAGTGCATCTAGATGTTCATTCAGCATTAAAAATTAATCAAAGAAGTGAAAGGTCCAGTTAATTGCATCCATCTGTCAGCTCCTTAAAATAAAATGAGAGCACAAATAAACATATTGTGAATGTACAGCACTTCCATTTCATTCAAAGAATGGGTTTTCGACTTGTGTGACATTAAAAGCATTTCAGCAGTTTTAGAAAGGTCTTATCAAGAGAAACTGCTTTCTGGACTACTTCTAAAATGCAGGTACGTCATGTTTCCGACTGCAACCGAAGGCATCAAGCTTCAGCACGCTCTCCCTACTTCCACCTCTCATTTCCTCGTCACATTACACCAGGATTGTGTACTCACAGTTGGAGTGAGACATAAACAGGGAGGGAGGGAGGCAAAAAAAGGCGTGCGACATGAGGAGGCAGCCAAAGCTGATAAACGCAACTCAAGAGTCCAAATACATCTACTAGGTCAGAAGGCTGCTGCTGGCCGCCAAAAGCTAAATAGTCTTAATAATATAGCAACAGGTTTGGCGCTTGGAGAGTCATACAGCTTACACAGGGATCAAAAGACTGCGCCTGGACCTCCAGTTGGACATCTGTGCGCTTGGCTCTGGAGGTGACAGGCTGACTGCCATGGACCCGCTGCTGCCCACAAAGACGGAGGTGATGGAGCGAGAGACAGACCAGAATTCGAGGAGGAAGATCCAGTTCTCCGTGCCTTCGTCCGTGCCCACCCAGCTGGACCCGCAACAGGTGGACATGGTGAGAACAAGCGAAAGACTGCAATGTGTAGCGCACATGGGTGATGATCGTGGTTGTGGTGGTTGATGTCTGTGGAAGGAGGGCGTTTTCAGTGTCATTTTTGTGTAACCTAAAACTTAATATCTAAACACATAAACACTAGTGTCAACTTCATTTCTTGGATGTTTTCAGTTGTTATGTAGACTGTTAATAAGCTGTAGTACAACGGTTTACAATACTGGGAAAAAGAATAGCAAAAAATCTGAAACATGCCATAAACTTTAATCATGACTTGTACAGTAGGTCCCCAGAAGTGTTGCCTGTTCTCCACATCTGAAGCAGCAGGCCTTGCCACTGAGGTTGACATACAGTACATACATATAGAAAAGTGTTTTGATGTTGCCTGTTACTGGGCAGCACTGAACTGTGCCATATCAATTTCTGAAGCCCTTAAACGTGATGAAGCATCTCTGCCCTTCAAAAGTAGTGGATGGCAGAGGAAGTGAGGAATACCGCACTGCTAGGAATATTAAAAATGAGATGACATCCCAAAATGTTAGTGTCACATTGTTAGTCATGTACTGGAAGGAGGTGGCGAGTGTATTATGTAAAATAAATAGATGAGATATTTATGCAGCTTAGGCTGATCAACCCCAAAGCAAAAACAGGTAACAGGAATAATGTAGGATTGGGCAGTATGGGTGCTAAGCAACTATTCAATGGCAACAGCCCATACAGGTCATCATGGCAGCACTGAAATAACATCCATCCATCCATTATCTGTACCACTTATTCTTGGATAGGGTCACAGGGACTAAAATAACCATTTTCCCAGCAAACAATCAATTTCTTACATTTTTACGGTATAAGACATTCATGTCTTCATGCCAGGCTACTCCTGGTAGGGGTTTCTTTCTTAATCCCTTCTAGTACAGAATTGCTTTTCTAACCAACCCCATGCACTGTATGTGATTTCACAAACACCTTAGCATATTTTTCATGAACATTTCTGAAAACTGGCTGAAAACAGGCTCACATTACTAGTGTTACTCATAACTTCTGTAGTTTTAAATTATTAGGACCCTTTCCCACATAAATTTGATTTTTTAAACATTAAGGAAACAGTTTTCCCTATAAGATGCTCTGGAAGTTTGCCCATTAAGTACCAAATAAGATTACAGCAAATTCTTCATCATGGATCCAATGGAAGTAAAAGCAGCAGCATTCCCTGGTAAAGCACACAAAAGATTACAGGGTTCATAATACGCCTTAGGATATGTCTTCTTATAACCACAAATATGAGTCTAACCCATGTACAAGAGAAATGATTGTTGTGGGATCACTTGTTGCTGAAACAGAAGTTTTTGTGTATAACACTTCCAAAACATGACTTCATCATTAGTATTGAAATGGAAAGCTGTAGCATTGAGAAAAAGGCAGGTAGAAAGGTAAGTAGTCATAGGAAGGAATGAATAAAGAATGAAAAAAAGTGCTGAGGTGAGGGGGACAACAGGGAGAGAAAAGGAGAAAGCTAACTGACAGAAGGCAAGTAAGAAAATGAATGAGAGAAAAGTCATCAGCCAAGACGAGGACTGATTAAAACCAAAGAGATTAGCTGTGGATGAAACCGGGGCAAGGGCTGCTAATGCCAAGAACACATTTTCACTACAGCACAGCTAACAGCTCTGAAGTCCTGTAGTGTCTCATTTAACAAATACAACATATAATCACTTCTGTCCCTGTTAATACATTATTTTTATATATGAAGTGGGGTCAGAATATTATCAAACTTCAAAACTGGATGCAGTGACAAGGTGACAATGTCTGGGTAAAAGGTAGCTGGAAAAACACATTCACTTGCCAAAGAAGACGACACGCTGAATGTACAGGCTTGTAATTGAAGTTCCCACTTTCAAGTGCATATAATATTATGTATCCCTCTCTACAACCCAGGCCACGATTGCATTTCCAGTCAGGCTGCCTGGTTTAATCAGTGTTAAAATCCAGTGTGATGTTCTATAATCGACAGGTTCTCACCTATTTTTAGAATTTTTTCTTTGGAAAATAAAGGGTCAAATCAAGCTGCACACAGGATTATTCACAGAATAGATTAAAAGCACTGTACAAACACAACAAAGGATTGATCCTTTCACTGTGTGGTTGTCATTGTTCAGGTTTCTGTATAAAGGACTCTTTAGTGACCCACCCATTGATGCCATGGTGCATAATAAACACCCAGGTTAATGCACTGAAGCTGAATGTTAGCCACAAAGATCATTCTACTTATCAAAAATTAGGTCAGTGATTAATATTTATCATAATGAGATCCTATGCTGCTTTGATTCCTCCTCCTAACAATGCCAGCACAGCATGGTTGTAGGTGCTATTTAGCTGGACAGTTTTCAAATAAAATATAACAACTGTAGAGAATGTCAGAAAACCTGAGCACACCAGCTACAGTAGCTGCACACTCTAAGAAAAGTGAAACAAATAAGCGAGTCCTAAATTAAATCTCTCCTCCAGCAGAGCCGCACTCATATTTACATGCATTTCAGACATGCACAAGGACCTGGTCTACTGTGTCATCACTGTCTGAACAGTCTCTTAGTGCTTAACATGTGGTTTGGCCCTGCATCGTTTACATTTTCATGTTGACACATTTTTAACCTCTAATTGGATGCCTTGTAATTCATATTTAAATTTGTTTCCCCACAGTGGCAGCATACTTTATTGTAGTGTGTGAGTGATGAATATGCAGGAGGCAGAAGCAGTAATAGCTGCTCCAGAGTGAAAGATGCCCACACATTTCATGCCTACGCTCTCAGCTGTGACTGGTTTGGCACACGCTCTTATCTCACAACAATCTTATTACCATAATGTGTTACCAAATAGAGAGAGTGATGAGTCCATTGTATATTTCATAACACCTTATTGTTAGCCAGAAGAAGGTATTTTTTGTTGCGTTTATTTCAGTATGAATACTTGAGTGTTGGTGTAGCTTGTACTTATAAAAATAGATGAAAAATATTTTCACTGTTATGTATTTCTACTAGAAAGCTATAAAGAATATTGACCTCATTTGGTCAGAAACAGTCAGCTATTAGCTCCCATATCACCAGTACAGACAGTCTTGACTGTTATCACTTGTCTTTGATAAATGTCATCATCATATTTTGCACTGTTTTATAAATCCCCCCTTCTCAGTATAGTGTGCATCTCTAAATAAGCTATATTATCTAATAGCTGTCTTCATATAACAGACTGAGACTATAAACGCCCTAACAATTGGCTGCAGGACTCAGATACAGATCTTTATGAATTGAACTATAAATGAGTCTTTTTAGCCTCAGATACGTTTTCAGTCGAGTTTTTCTTTAACATTTTGGTTGAAACATTACATTGGTGGTGCAAGAATTCTAACCATTGCATCAATAGAAGTATAAATAACACAAACGCACTACACAAATGCTTTCTTTTTAGAGTTTAGGTGCAACTGAGAAATATACGTAATCAGGATGAGTCATGACTAATTTCAATTTAAATATATAATATTATTGTCAAGATGTGTTGTGCAACAGTTTTATCATATCAGACTGAAACTCACTTGAGATAATGACATTACATTTCATCAGCTGCATAATCATTGGTTTCTGTGACTCACTCTGCTTCACAGACTGCAGAAAGGTGCTGCAGCTATATTAGAGTTTCTGAGCCACAGTTTGTGACCTGAGCAGAATTATCAACTTCTGTTCAACACCAACGAATAAATAAAATACAATTTAATTAAATAAACACTAGTAGTATGCTGTAGCTGCAATAACATCCGGAGTGTCATGATTCTGCCCCATTGCTTCCGGTCTTGTGCTTTTATTTTGAAACTACTTCCTGTTACAGTCTCATCTCAGCTACAGACTCTTTACCCTAATCAGTGGTTATTGTTTGCACCTGTTCCTACCCCTTTATAGGCAGCTTCCCCACACCAAGAAGCTGCCAGATTGTTCTAACTCCTGTTCAGACTTTCCAGTGGTTTTCCCTGTACCTGTGATTTCAGGTACCATTTGTATTCTGTGCATCAACCTTTGGATTGCCTTTACTGTCTGTTCTTCTTGTGGATACCTTGGATGTGTGAGTTTACTGGCTCTGACCCTGGCCTGGGTTATTTACCATGTTGAGTCAGACTCCTGCATTGTGTACAGTTTGTTTAGTGCTCTTATTATAGAGTCTGTGTTCTGCTTATCCTCCTCTGGCCTTATAATTGAGTTCCCCCCCAACGCTATCGGAAGCTTTACATGCTGTCCCTGATACCGGAGATTATTTATCTAGTTTACATAAACCCACCTTTGTATTGTTTTTTTAAAAATTTTTTTATTCAGCAATAATTAAAGGACCGCAAGACAGAAAATGTTTTTCATTAGGAAAGGATTTGAAAGTGTATAAAACACAACACAACACAAATATTTAAACCTTGAAACTGCTCAGCATCAATCGGCGAATGCAAGAGAGCTGTTATTCTTCAGTATATTAGATTTTTCAAAAAGGTTTAAGCAGAAATCAACATGCATGTCTTAGTAACATAACACAGTGGGCAAAAGAATTGGAACATCTAAATGATCATGATCGAGTGATGGGAACATGCAGTAAAATACTACGCAATCTAGCCAGCATCCATGACAAGATGTAATCCTGATTCAGGAACAGCCTGGACGATCTTTTGAATTTTGTTATGTAATGATATTCAATTTTTTTATTACATTGTTGTCATAGAAAAAAATCCTCAGCAAACATTACATCAAGAATGACAAGACTGTTGAAAGCTGGTAACTGCTTATTCACTGTTTATTGGTTTTATGGAAAGAGCTATTGTTTGATAGGTTTCTGAATAGCACACATAAGTATATGTAAACTCTCACAAAGCATGGTTTGATACAAGTGGAGCATCTCTCTGTCTCTTTGTTAAGATTCGGCGTCGCAGGCCGACTCCAGCCACACTCTTCAGACTGACAGATCCACCATCACCAGAGGAGGACAGTGGGCTTCACCAGGTAGGTGAGCCGCTGCACCAGCAAAACACTTTCAGGACCAAAGAGCAAAAGCTGGAGTTGCTCACCATTTAGCATCAAATATCAATGATTCCTGATTGGGAAGTGATAGTGATTTTTCACTATTAACAGTCCCAAGACACCAGAGCATATTGCAATACCTTTGTGTCTTTTGAGTAAGGGGTGTGAGCTTTATTTTTGATTGTTAAATACTCACATTGCTGTCAGGCTGTGTTAGTATACAAAGAGAAGGCAGCACTCTCAGAATTGTTCTGTGAGAAATGTTGTGGAAGCAGAAGTGTATTGGGTGAGATGACAATATTTGTGATTTACTATATTTTGTGATTTATCTGAATCTAGAAACACTACACACACACACACACACACCTTTGCTGAAACATTAAAACCTATATGGTGCATGTTTTACTTCCACAGTGGGTCCTGGGGGAAAATGGAGCCTTGAAAGCCAAACTGGTTCACGTGTCCACCTATCAGCCACCCTCACTGAAAGGTAAGTGCTCTGTCTCGGCTGTGTTTGTGTTTCGTATGTGCTTTAATTTACATAACACATGAAAGAATTTTTATTTTACAGTGGCAACTGCAATGTGGTCTGTACCTGTTTGGAATGCATGCATATCCAAAAAACACTGAGGGGTTTGTGTCTCTGAGCAGAGAGAGAATGTTCTGGATTATCCTGGATTAGAAGACGGGCACATAACTGCAACATTGGTCTCACATACACACACACTACCAGATACACTCAGCCACACAAATATAAACACCTACTAAGAATTACTATTTGGTATGAATATATAATGTGGGGAACATTAATCTTGTGGTTTTTGGAGAATGATGGATTTGCCTGTAGTGTTTTACTGAAGTTTTATTAATCTGGTACAGCATTTTACACTATCATTACAGCATAGCTGTACACTTTAACCGCCATATCAGTATGAGAGACCATATCCATTTGAGATACATTAGTAAAGCTTAGCTGACAGATGACGGTATCCTGTTTTTTTTTTTTTAAAGGCAGGCTTGAAGGGGTAAACTGCTCTATATACTGATTTGTATTTTCAGATGTCCAGACGATGGCCCAGGCCCAACTGTCCTCCATAGGCAGGAGCTGTGTGGACAGCCGCTCTTCTGGTGAGGAAGAGGAGGAAGGTGAGAAACGCAGCCAGCAGACAGACCCAGCTACAGGTGAGTGGGACAGGATAGTCCTTCCTTTCTTATACTGGCAATTGAACCACAACTATTGCTTACGCTGAAGCCCCTTTCTTGTCAGATATAAGAGAAGAAAACAAATCATACAGGGATCCGTGTGGTCTGTGGAGCAGCTTGACAATAAGCCCTGATCAGAGCCATCACTACGGAGATGAAAGGGAGGCCCAAGAAAGGCAGGAAGGAAAGGGAGAATGACGAAAGAAGACGGCTGGATGGAGACAGTGTTAGTGAGGAACCGATTTGCATAGCACGTATATGGGCCATACGTATGCGTGGATGGGTGTATGTACTGTATGAGTGTGCGTTATGGATTTGTGAGCGTGTGTATTCATGCAACAAAAAAGTTGAATGTAGAAAAGAGAGAGGAAAAGAATGTTAATGACCAGGTATAAGGAAATGCTTAACCTGAGACGTGAAGTAAATCACATCTTGTTCAGCCAAAGACACCGAACAAGAAATATGAAAACTACTGAGAACTGCAGTATTTTCTCATGCATTTTTTTTTTTTTTTTTTTTTGTTCAACGAGATTCATGATATCAGTGTGTGCTCTGAAACTTTCTCCTTAGTCGATTTTTATTTGTGTGGAAAAATACAATTTACAATTACTGTATCTGCCAAGTGCACATCTTGTACAGGGCATTTTATTAAATGTGCTGAAACACACACCTTGTGAACAATCAAATACCAGATGATGTATATGGCATTGAAACTGAGAGGTTCTGGGGATATACAGTATACCCTATATTAAGTGATACAGACGGTACTATAACAGCATATTGGAGCACAGAACTAAACCTACATAACACCCAACACGGGGCATATTGTGTTGCTTCTATTGTTAAAGTATACATTGTGAGGTCCAGGAGGTCAAAGGAGGATGGATTACAGATGATCTGAGCACAGCAAAGCAGACTAAATCATTTCAGACTAATCCAACTAATCACAATAATGCAGCAGTTTTTCTGGTTTCATTGGTATGAACAGGCCTTTGGTAACATGGCAATTAACAAATATGATCTGTTTGAGATTCTGAACTGAATCGAGACCTATATTGTCTATATATATTTATTTAGAATGAGTATGAAGGTCCATTCCTGACCCTGCAGATATGCAGTAGGATGTTCTGTGTTGCTAATAAATGAAATATAATGCACTGTTGGTGTCTGTGTGATTGTGTGTTTGGAGATCACATCTGTAGGTAATGTACAAAAAGAAAGACACAGGCTTTCCATTTACCACAACATCAACTAATTCGACATGCGACAAAGTGTGTGTGTGTGTTTTAATACAGCAAACCTTTTACACTTTTATGATCTTTGTTCTTGTCCATCTGGGAACACCCTTGAGTGTACACAGACTACCTGGCTGTACTCCTGGTACTGAAGTTTAATTAGTTACATTTGATATAAGGGCAGCCACGACAGAAGACATAGAAGAACAAGCTTTTATTGTGTGTTCCTCTTTATCCACTGTGATTCCACTTCAGTTATTTTGTAGGGCTAAGTGAAATTAAATCTACTGTCAACTTCTGGGCAGCAATATTGTTCTGAAACAATTTTCAGAGCAAGATGGCCAAATGCTGACTCCCAGTGTTCAGTGCTTCTCATTACACATATTCTTAGCTTCATGTCTGGAATGACAATCTAAATAACATGGATCCCAAAGCAATATTAAGATTAATCAGTGGAACTGCCATCATAAGCAATGATGGATGTGTTACCCCTCTGCGCACATCTGTATTTCAAGATCTACAAGTTTATATAAGCACAGCATTTGAGCTATCGCAACCTTGTGAAATAGATCATTTTACCATTGCTTCTTTATTCACATGATCACATATTACAAAACACAACAGGCAACTTGGAGAAGTGACTGAGTAAATGGCCAGAGTATTCTTTCAGGTTTGTAAAAGTGTAAGCTACAGCAGGGCTGAACTATATGGTGCTTTAAAAACAAATACCAATCATTTAAAATTGAGTCTAAAATGCAGTGGTAGCTAATGGAGAGGAAATGAGGGGCTTTACTTTAGTTAACAGTAGAAGCTGAATAAAGCTGGTTTTTAACTGTGGCACATGAAACAGCTTGAAAACACCTACAATATGTTATATGATATTCTTAAAATCTGAAGGGTTTTATTCTTTATGCTGTAGCTGCTGTGTATACACTGCAGGAGGCAATGTGTAATAATGTCTACATTGCAAAGTACCACTGTAATTCAAAAAAAGTTGTAGTGGACCAATAAATAAAGTGGTGAATTTTATTTGCCAGTGTGTTAAACTTTGCTCAACCTATATTAGTTTTATCTGTACATTTCTTCACTTTCAGCTTTAATGAACTTTCAACTTTTCCTTTTCTTCCACTTTACCCTTTAGTCTTTTTTCGCCTTTACAAAAAACACTCCAGTAACATCATCGACCCCCACCCTCATATCCTGAGGCAGCGTGTAAACCTCCAGCCGGATCAGGGTGTAGCCATTCTCCTTCAAACTAGCACAAACCTGTGCCTCTGTCAGTGGGACCACAGGGATCTTTACCCCTGGCCCCCCAAGATAGTAGCTCTCTTCGAGGGCTCCGATGAGCAGGAGGTGGCCACCAGGTCGCAGGAGCCTCCCGATGTGGCCCAAAGCCCTGGTGAAGGCAGCCAGGTCAGGGCTGACACTCTCCAGGCAGAAGGAGGACACCAGGCAGTCGGCCCCTGCTGAAGGAAGGATGTCAGGGCCCAGAGGGTGTGAGCGGTGCACATCAATGGGCAAGATGTCAGTGATGACCTTACGTAGCTTTGCAGCTTTCTCTATCCATGCTGAAGGGCTGGTAAAGATAATAACAATGAATCACAAATTTACACAAAAACATCCAACATCCAAGTAGTGTACCACACCATATCTAACTTTAAATCAGTTTGTGTTCGCACACAAATTAATAATACTTCATAGTGCTTATTTGCTTTCTGGAGAGCTTGATGAGAAGACTGGAAATATTCTTTACAGTAACACTCTGTGAAGCATTATCCAGCAGCCAGATGCAAATACGCCTATAAATAACTGTCTGATGAAAACAGCAGTGCAATAACAATCATATTATTTGAGAAACTTTTTATCAAATCTTAAAACTTCAAGCTGTTGAAAGGTACCAGGCTGTACCTTCGTCCCTCCAGCTTGCACACATGCTGCAGATATGGCGTCCAGTCCATACTGCAGCTTGTCTCATCCTGGAGCCAGCGCCTCAGCTCCTGCCGGTTGATTTCCAGGAAATCTGTGAGGAGCACCTTGTTGAAAACCTCACAGCCACTCAGCACCTGGTACAGGGTGGGGCCGGATCCTATGTCCACCAGCAGCTCTCCGCTCACATCTCCTGAGAAAGATCGAGGAGAGGAAGAAGGTGAGAGTCAGAAGCTGTGAATGAAGGGTGCTTTACCAAAATGCCTTGGTTAGACATAATCATACATTTTTTCTTAATTCAGCTTCTTCACCCTTCTTCTTCACTCCACCCTTCCAGGATACACTGAATGTTGCATGTTCTGGAATACCTTGTTGTATTATATCAAACTTATCCAGTTTGTAATTAATTGACCCAAATCCAATTTTAACACCAAATGCAAAGAACGGTACATTTATTTGGAATACTTCCTTCCCATAAAAGTCCCAGTATATTTGTGAAATTATGCACATTATTGAAACAAATTGCTATTTTAAAGACATTTAAACAGACTAAAATTGGAATGACATTTACACGAGCCATCACCCTGTCTTCTTACCTTCAGAGAAAGCTCTATGGAGGCATGCCAGTTTCCATGGCACAATGCTGTCTTCTCTTTCAAAATCAGCCCGTGGTGGGGTGTAGTTATACTGTAGATATGCTGCAGGGTCAAATCTCTGGTAGCAGGCTGCCATAGCAGCTGTTCCATTCTCTGTTCCCTTTTCTTCCATTCTCACTTGTCTTTGTGGCTCTTCTGTTTGGCGGTCAGTCTTCAGGTGCTGCACTGCACCCCCTCTCCTGCCACCCCCAGCTGCCTTATATACCTGTAGATGTGGGTGTGTCTGTGCTTTGGGCTACTCTTGAGTTTAATTGACAGAGATAGCGATCCCGTTTTTAGGCCCGTGTTGCTGCCTGATAGCATTTGTTCTGTTCACTTTCCCGACCCTGAGGCATTGATACCATCAGATCAGGGGGGTTCCTCCAACACTAGACCCACTAATGTACTCCTCATATGGCTTCCAGCCACCTCTCAGAGGCCCTCTTTATCTCCACAATCCTTCTAAAGGGCTTTTTACACTCAAACGATAGGCCGGGTTTGTCTCAGGCAGCCCTATCTGAAAGACAAACCAGTCTATATCAAAAAACAAACTGATTTCTCTGTCTGGCATTTTACTTTTGTGATGTTTGGGGGTAGAGAGGTGAGGAACGCTGATGAGCAATAATGGATTTTTGAACAAAAAAAAAAAAATACAGTAATGCAGCTTACTTTTCCACTGACCCTTTCTTCTAACAAATCTTTCCACGTTTTATGGTGCTACAGTCTGTTCATGTTTAATTCTTGCAGTCTGTCACTGTGAAGCTTGTCTTGGTCAAAACCTTTCCACACATGAATTTTGGTCTTCAGTGGAGCCAGCACAACTCCTCTGATCTTTTTTTTTTTTTGCATTTCTTCAGGATATCCCGTCATCTTAATTATATATGTGACTATGTGCCGACACTGCTAACCGAGTGTGTTCAGTCTGGTCTGTCCTGTCATATTTTGCTGTGTTGTCCTATTGTATTTATTCTAAGCATAGATAAATAACGTAGACATAAATTAAGAAAAAATATATACACCATCGTTATCACTTACTGGTGTTATTATTGTACTTTAAATATGTTAAAAGGCTGTGCAGATACAAACACACGTACACACAAACACATATAGTGGATTAGTGGAGCCAGGAGCAAGGTACAGGTCAGTTCCTTTCCCCTGAGTCAGATGAACAGATAAAAGAGTGAAGAGGATGAGGAACACAGAAGAACAGATAAAGGGCAACAGAGTGGACAGCAGAGAAAGGAACAGAACAGTTATAATGGGATAATACACATTTAGCCAGAGCTACAGAAGCCAATTTAGTTATCTGTGGTCTTCGGGGCAGCGGTAGTCCGACAGTGTCGGTAAACTCTGCTCTGGGTTACTTTTCATTTTGTCACAGCAAGACAGTGCAGGGACAGAAAATGTTCAGCAGTACTACAGCCCTGCAATTTTTCTACCATATGGCATAAATAAAAACTGGAAAGTTACTGCAAACCAAAGAGGCCCGTTGGCTCCTACATCTTTGTATCTCTAGAAGAATTATAGGGGTGAAGAACCTTGTGGAGAACATTTGATTTCAGCTGTAGTGGCTGTGTATGTTGCTACATTGTGTAAAATATGCAGTAAGCTGTGTGAAAAGCAATGTAACATAATCACTGATACCTCAGCCAGGATGTTTCTACATTAACTAAACAAGAATTGTGTGCTTCTGTAATATTGTCTGTTAAAGTAAACATACTAAATACAATGTCTCATTGCCTACTGTATGCTGCTAGCATTGGCGTAAATTTCACCTCACTGCCATACAACCTAACTTCTACACAAAACTTTACATTTCTAAACAAATTTTCTGTACCATGCAGAATGAAATAAGGCAATTGTCATTCTTTAGTTATTTTGCTTACAGTTGCATGACCATCAACACTTCAGATTCAAATGTAACATCACTGTCTTCCAGGGTAAATTTGTCTTGCAGTCAGATTAAGATACACAAACATGATAAAATATCTCAGAAGAAAAGCATTTTAATTTTAATGTCAGCACTACCAAGAGGAAAAAAGTAATCACTGGTCCTTTTACTGTGCCTGGAGTTAATTCACTAAAGCTGTAAACGTGTTGTAAACTGCGGTGACTGTTTCAGCAGCAGCAGTGTCAGACAGGGCAATATAATAAGTAAAGTGACTTCTGTTGTCATCAAATATTCAAAAACAAACTCTGCATGGAAACAGACTTTGTCTTTAGTGCTTTGGATAATCTACAAAACATGTTGTGAACAGTTTTCATAGAGAGTTTTGTTGTTTGGTAGAAAGCACAAATAGTTGTTTGACAAATAAAACAAAAAATAACATTATGGGTAGTTGCCAGTAACCACTTAACACATTTACTTATTTGATTTTTGGTGAACTGACCCTTTAAAGCAGGAACAGGAAATTCACTGTGGTTCCCAGATGTTATCCATTACTGCTAATTGGCTGTGTTGTTTTCCAGGTGGCCATGCTGCAGAATCAAGGAAGGGAGATGGTGACTGTCACCAGTGGAGCAGTGACCTTTGGAAAACAAAGATTAAGACATGAGATCCTGTTGTCCCAGAATGTTTGATGGGTGTTACACAGTGGATGTAATCAGCTCAAAGACATGGTAAAAAATAACAGCTGCCATCAGGCTCCTAAACAGCTGGCAGGATTTTATTATCAGGAAATACGTCATGTAATTCCTTCTGTACTGTTTACATTCTTAGTTTGCACATGCATAATTGCAAAGTCACTGTTATTGCACATACAGCTTCCATGTAGCATACATTCTTTTATTATATTCTTATATATGTTTATTATATCTCTTTCATTTGCTGCTTTAAAGTGCCTTAGATTTTGTGTTACTTATTTATCTACTTTATATTTCACTTTTATTGTGTGGCATTCATGTGGACGGCAAGGTAAGAATTTCATTGTACAGGGAAACGTGCTTCCGTACTGTGCATATGACAAATAAACACTGACTTTGACTTGAAGGTGGAGGAATGTGTGGCAGTATAAGGTAATAATAAAACATAAATCAGCCCTGAGACATATACAGCAGAGCTGCTGCTCTAGATCATCAAGTGATTTAAGCGTTTTGGCACTTTTTTGCCATAGTCACTGTCATGAAAATCAACACAATATTTTTCTTTAGTATTCGGTGGGTGGACACTGCTGGTAAAGCCTGCCCAATATAATGCAATAAAACACAACATTGTACAGTAAATACTGCCTCTGTGAAGCTTATTGTTCACTGTTTGACTTCAATAACTGATGCTGATTCTGCTCTGTGGGAAGTTTGATATGCTATAGTGCTGATTGTTCTGCAGGTTAAAGTATTCTGTTATTTTTGTCAGTTTGTTTGACTAAACACAGACTTAAGTTTCACTGCATATTTTTGTGCTAGATATTAATGCCATCATCCAGCAGGACAGCTTTTCTCTTCTAACAGTTGTTCTTTTTCTTATTTTAGGCCATCTTTTTGCATTCTGTTACAGTATTACCTCATACTACTGATACCAGGCCCGAGTGTGGAGCAGCAGGCAGAAATGGCAAGTAACCATGGAATAACTCTGGCATCTCTGCACCCAGACCAAGTGGTTCAAGAGTTTAAATAAAAACAAATATCATTGTTTTTTTATTGGGGACTTCAGTTTATTTGTAAAATATGTTGATATATAAGCTCATAATGTAAGATGTTAGCTCTAAGCTTAGCTTCACCTAAAGAGAAATGCTGACCCCTTGTGGACAGCTGTGGTAAATGCTCATTCTGCATGAATTCGTTTCACTGTGTTGCCAGAGGAGTGAGATTATCTGCCATCTAGCAGAGCTGTTGACTCAAGGCAAGAATGAGATTCTGGCTTCCAGTAAGACGGACATGGACCTGGCTGTATGTGCAGGTTTGACAGGTGTTTACACAGGATGTAGCCCCTGGTTTCTAGGTCCTTTCAGGCAGCTATAAGCTCATGTCATAAAGATTTTTACCAACAGATTCTTCTCTTGGAGAAGAATCATTATCATTGCTGCCTTTTTATTGCAATATTAACTTGGCAAAGAGAGAATTTTGTAAAAATGCCATTGTTTCTCTGCACTATCGCGTTGCCTTCATATGGGTGGTGTCCGTTAATAATAAGAGTCTGGTCTCATTATCACTTAATGGCATAGTGTAACCCTGCTCTCCCTTTTTCCACAGGCCATTTGCCATCCACCACGCTGATGTGACTGAGTCTGTCACCAGCCAAACTTAATAAGTTGGCCATAGGCCTGTGACAGCTACTGTAGCTGTGGCAGCCCAGGACAGTGCAGGGATGTGTGCTGCACAGGACCAAGGTGGCTCACAACTTGAAGCTGGGGCAGATCACGGTCCCCGTTGGAGTTCTTCTGGTCATCTTTGAGGCCAGACCTGACTGTCTGCCACAGGTATACAGGAAGATACCTTTCTTGTTGTGTATAATATTGGCAAAATTGAATAAATTGAGATGTCACTTTGTTTGGAAATATGAATTTGCCAAAATAAGTTTCTTCTTTCCCATTCATTGTTGCTTGAAATGACTGCAGTAATATCACAAACCGTATGTCTTATCCAGGTGTCAGCACTA